TCTCATGAACACCAAACCCTCTCCATGCTGCCATCCCTTGGAAGACAGAAATGGAACAGATCCTTCACAGAAAATGGAAAGTTGCAGATGCAAAAGGCTGAGCACGACAGACTCCACTGCAACTGAGCTCCCAAACTCCTTGGGATCCCTGCATCACCAGGAAATGGTCACAAACCAACTTCTTCAAAGCTACCCGTGGAGCAGTGTGACATCAGGGCCACCAGGCACTGCCCAAGGCTCTCCTTGGTCACACTAACTGCCCTAAATTAAAATATAATCTGGAAAAAAAGCCCAGGGGATCTTGCAGCCTTCCCAGGGAGCTCGGTCCCCTCCATCATCACCCAGCATCTGTCCTTGCTGTCCCCTCCCAGCACCTCTCTCACAGGGAGCACGGCTGGAAAATGGGGCTGAAAACCTTTGGAAGGGAACTGTCAGAAAAATGAAATGCTATGAAACGAAATGAAAAAAGAAATGCAAATGGCACCTGGCCAAGGGTACCAGAGCTGTCAGAGGGAGCCAGAGGGAGAGCCAGGACATCCCCCTGGGCAGGAGGGCAGCCCAGGCAGGGACAGAGCTCCTGGGAGCTGCAGGAGCCAGCTCAGACACATCCAGAGCCACGGCAGTCACGGGGACAGGGGGGGTGAGAAGCCAGTGAGAATCTGAAAAGGGCAGCCAGAGATTTTGGGGTTTTTTTTGGTTTTTTTTTTCCCTTTCTTTTCCTCTTGAAGAAATGGAGCAGCACGCCCTGGGAGCAGTCAGCCACCAGGGACTGCTGGAAATCCCTGCTGCTGCACCCAGCAGTGGCTCCTGGTGACTTCCACTGCCCAGAGGGACCCAGAGGGACCCAGGGCACCACAGCCATTCCCAAATCCTCGGTCCTGCCCTTCCCAGAGTCCCACACAACAGAGGAGCTGACTCAAACTGCTGACTCGAGGCAAGGAAATTAAGAACAGACACTGAAGAAAAAAAAAAAATAAAATAACAGAACCAGTTTCCCCTTCTTAAACACGAGGCTGTGTGACCTCGCAGAAGAATCACTTCTGGACTGCCTGCATAAACACAGCAGGACAAGCTGGGAAGCAGCCTGGACTGCTTCAATGGGAGTAGGAAAAAGGCAGAGTGAAGGTGAGGAAAACCTAGAGCTGCACTTTCAGCTTCTCTCCTCCTACAGGAGTTTTGCAAAGTTTTCCATGGAGATTTGCAGCACATCCTGGCTGGGGGGGTGACACACAGAAACCCCAGGAGAAAGGATGTGGGAGATGGCAGCTGCCAGGGAGCCCTGCCTGGCACCCAGCTGAAGCAGGCAGCAAGTCCACCCCAAGCTCAGCAGCGTCCAGAGTCCAGCTGGAGGCCAGGAGCAGCTCAGCCATGCCAACATCAGCCCTCCTGGCATGGTACAGCCTTCCCTGGGTGGCTCTGAAGGATCCCAGAGCTTCCC